TTTGCACAGCCTACACAACCACCATTAACTCCTTTTCATACGTGGATTTACCCTGGGCCAGTGGTGAGAGAACCTTGTTGAAATAGGCAATGGGCTTTTTGTCTTGTAACAATATTGCCCCTATGCCCTTTCCTGATGCATCTGATTCTACTACAAACTGTTTTGAAAAACTTGGTAGGGACAAGATGGGAGGGGTCGTAAGGGCCATCTTCAGTGTCGTGAAGGCGTTCTCCACTTCTTCCGACCACTGGAAAGCATTCTTCTTGAGCAAGTTTGTTAGTGGGGCCGTCATAGTGCCGTACCCCTTAATGAATCGCCTGTAACACCCAGTAGGGCCCAAAAAACCCCTAAGATCCTTGATAGTCGTGGGCGGTCACTGCAACATACAATTTATCTTGTCTGGATCTGCTCTGGCTGTGCCTGTGGTGACAATGTGTCTTGCATCTGTCCAAAATCACATTTTGACCTTTTAGCATACAACTGATTGGCTCTAAGAATGTCAAAGGTGGAGCGCAAATGCTGCATGTGAGACTTTCAATCCGTGCTATAAACTAAAATATCATAAAAAAACACCAGAATAAAACGCTGCAAATACGGATGAAAGATCTCATTCATTAAGGACTGAAAAGTAGACGGGGCATTAGTGAGGCCAAAAGGCATCACCAAAAATTCATAGTGGCCCTTGTGCGTCCTAAATGCCATTTTATAGACATCTTGAGCATGTACTCTAATTTGATGGTACCCTGCCTGTAAATCTAATTTGGAGAAAATCTTAGCCATACCAAGCTCATCCAGCAATTCATCAATTATGGGTATTGGAAACTGATCCCGGACTGTAATTTTATTTAGGGCATGGTAGTCGATGCAAAAATGCCACATGCCATCTTTCTTCTTAACCAAGAGGACAGGTGCTGAATACAGACTGTTACTAAGCTGTATCATGCCTTTGTGCCTGAGTTCCTTCACCAATTTTTCTACTTCTGTTTTTTGGCAATGCAGATACCGATAGGGTCGCACATTAGCAGGCATAGCACCTGGTTTGATTGGAATCCGATGGTCATGTGACCGCACTGGTGGCAAGCCAGAGGGTTCTTGGAAAACATTTGAGTAACCAATGAGTAGTAACTGCAGTTCGATTTCCTGTGTTTCAGAAATGGTTTCACTGTCACTCCCGGAGAAGGTTGGGCCTGGTTGACTCACGCCCAGGCTCGTTAGTATAGCTCCCTTTGCACCAGTTCCTGCCTTCAGAATAAGGTTTAACTCTCTTGTTGTATCGGCTCGGGTTCCCAACTTTTAAGGTGACATCGCTTACCTTGGCTCTGGAAATCCATTGTGAGGTGGGCCCAATCACACGTTATTGAACCCAACTCTTTTAACCATTGAATCCCTAACACCACATCAGCCCCAGAGAATTCTAGCGGGTACAAATCCACTCGGAATTCACACCCTTGCATCTGTAACCTGAGCCCTTCGCATACTCCATCGCACTAGATACAGTTACCATCAGCTACATGGATGGAGAACGGGATGGTTGGTTCAATTGCTAGCCCCAGCTGCTTAGCCAGCACAACGGTAATGAAATTCAAAGTACCACCACTGTCGATTAACACTGCGATCCGTCGTCCCATAAGCCGGCCCATCACCTGCATTGTCTGGGCTAAATGTGTCCTTGTCAGAGTCTGTAAGGAAATGGCCGGCTCTCCCGGTTCCCCTAACTGGATTGGTTCATCCTTGTCGTCGGCCCAGTCGTCTTCATAGTCTCCCTCAGGATCGATTTGTAAGGTGAGCACCTGATGCTGCTTACACTTGTGTCCAGGGAAAAATTTCTCGTCGCAGTTGTAGCAGAGTCCTCGTTCCCTACGAGCTTGCATTTCTGACCATGAGAGCTTTTTCAAGGAAATTGTTTGAGTTGGTATTGTCGTTGCCTTGGTAGCCAAACCTTCAAGACGATTGAGTGGAGTCTTCAAGATCGGTCCTGTGCCTCGGTTTATTTTCCTCAAGCTATTTAGCCTGTCCTTGTGGAGTCTAGCCAGTCCAACGGCTGCGGACATGGTGGTAGGTTGCATAGCCTTCATCTCTACCCGTATTTCGTCTCGGAGACCGCCAATGAAGCATCCTATGAGCGCATTCTCCGGCCAGCCATACACTCTCATTGCCAGTCGCTCAAATGCAACCTAGTATTCCCGCACAGTGCCTACTTGTCGTAGCTTCGATAGAGCTTCATCGAAATTTTCAAAAGAGGAAGGTCCAAAATGGATACAGAGGGCTTCTAGAAATTCTTTCCACATCATTTGAGGATGCGATCGTTTGTACCACTGAAACCAGTTGATTGCCTCTCCTTCTAAGTACACCGAAGCGATCACTACTCTCTGATGGCTCGCGATCTCTTGGATACCAAAGTATAGCTCTGCTCTGTAGATCCAAGAAAGAGGATCTTCTCCCTGAAAGCCGGAAAGTCCACTTTGACTTGCCGGTGATTATTTCCGCCGAATCGGCGAGAGCTGTCTTGGCTGAACTCTCGTCACCATTTTCTTTGTTGTTTGATCATGCATTCATCTTCTCACACTGTGACATCACCGCTGAGATCGCTTCCTTGATCTCTCGCAGGTCGTCGGAGAATTTGTGTAGATCGACCTCAATTCGATCCACTCTCTCTTCTACTGACGCTGATTTGGTATGCAACATGGATAGCCACTTCTCTGGACAAAATCTCAAGCTCTGATACCAGCAAGGTTTAAAATGTCGATGTCGATGGAAATGTCGCTTACCAAAATATAGGACATATGTCGGAAATGTCGAGGGGAAATATTGTAAAAATTAGAGACATTGTTGAAATATTATGAAATGTGGAAATATGCAAAGATATTTTGTAAAATGATAAAAGAAGCATTAATACATATTTCTAGA